TCAGAAGCCAAACTGCTTGACAGGCGGCTACAGCACCAGCAATGTATTCAGCTTCACATGTTGACAGATCCACAACAGGCTGTTTCTTGGAACACCAAGAGATTGGACCTCCCAGAAACTTGAATAAATACCCAGAAGTGCTTCTTCTGTCGACTCTGTCTCCACACCAATCAGAATCAGAATAACTCAGAAGTTCTGATTTGATCTTTCCTCCAGAAGGAAATAACACTCCATAATTCAGAGTTCCTTTTATATACCTCAGAATCCTGACAGCAGCTTGGTAATGAGACCACTTTGGTTTGCTCATGTATCTGCTGACCATTCCAACTGCATAACAAATATCAGGTCTGGTATTGCATAAATACCTCAGAGAACCAACCATCTGTTTGAAGGTTGTAGCGTCCACATCCTCTCCATCAGAATCAGAGTCCAACTTCTGATTCGTATCAGCAGGTGTGATAGCAATCTTGCAATTTGCTAGCTCAAATCTCTTCAGAAGCTCTAGTTCATACTTCTTCTGATGCAAAATGATTCCTTTCTCAGAGTATATAAGTTCCATCCCTAGAAAGAAACTCATTTTTCCAAGATCTGTCATCTCAAACGCCTTCATCAGAACTTTCTTGAACTCAGCTGTTTCTTGTTCAGAACTTCCTGTGAGTAATATGTCATCAACATACAAACAGACCAGAATCATATTACCTTCTGAAGTATGCTGAACATAAACACCATATTCCATCTCACACTTCTGAAACCCTTGTTCCTTGAAAAACGAATCAATCTTCAGATTCCAAGCTCTGGGCGCTTGCTTCAGTCCATACAGAGCTTTACTTAACCTGTATACCATCCCTTCCTGATTCTTTTTTACAAATCCAGGAGGTTGTGACACATAAACTTCTTCCTGTAATGGACCGTTCAGAAATGCAGACTTCACATCCAGATGTATCAAAGGCCAATTTCTGTTTGCAGCTAAAGCAATCACCAGTCTGATTGTTTCGTGTCTAGCTACAGGTGCAAACACCTCAAAATAATCTAGTCCAGGTTTCTGAAGAAAACCTCTGGCCACTAGTCTCGCTTTATGTTTGCCAATTGATCCATCTGGCTTTAGCTTCTGCTTGAAAACCCATCTGACGCTGATGGCTTTCTTGCCTTTTGGAAGTTCTGTCAGCTTCCAAGTCTTGTTTCTTTCAATTGCCTCAAGTTCTTCTTTCATGGCATTCAGCCATACTTTCTTCTTGAGTGCTTCTTCAATACCCACTAGTTCAGAATCTACTAGCATGGCACACTGAACAATTTCTCCTTCAGAATCTACTTCAGTATCATGCAACATGCTAAAATCTGCAAACTTACTTGGTATTCGTCTGATTCTCTGTGGCCTCTGGTCTTGTTCTGAAGCTTCTCCAGAATTCTGAACAATACTGGCTTCTGAACCTTGTCCAGAACTACTTCCTTCAGAATTACCACCTTCAGAGTTACTTCTGGAAATTTGTTCTCCAGACCCTATGTCTTCAGAGTTTTCCCTTTCAGAAGTAAAATCATCACCAGATTCTAGATCATCATCAGAATCTGGATCAGAATCATATTCACTATCAGGATCTCCCTGAGATTCTGACTCATCTTCAGAGTCTTCTTCTTCTGACTCTGACTCGTCTTCAGAAACTAACCCTGGTGTTAGCACTACACCAGAATCTGATTGAAGCTTGTTCCAATCCCATGTTTCTGACTCTTTCACAACGACGTCTCTGCTGATTTCAACTTTGTTGGTTTCTGGACAATAAAGCTTGTAGGCACCTGTACTGTGGTACCCCACCAGTAACATTGTTTTGCTTTTATCATCCAGTTTTCGTCTTCTAGCCTCTGGAATGTGTTTGTAGCACACAAAACCAAATACTTTCAGATGGCTAACACTCTGCTTGTCTCCAGTCCATTTTTCTAAAGGAATAGTTTCCTTCAGCTTCTTTGTTGGACACCTGTTCAGAACATATGCTGATGTGGCAACAGCTTCTCCCCATAACATGTGAGGTAACTTCTTCTCTTTCAGCATACTTCTGGTCATATCAAGCAAAGTTCTGTTTCTTCTTTCAGCGAGACCGTTGTGCTGAGGAGTATATGGAGCAGTAACCTCATGTTCTATTCCATTCTCCTCACAGAACTTCTTGAACTCTGTAGAGTTATACTCACCTCCACCATCTGTTCTCAGAATCTTCAGCTTCTGACCACTCTGCTTCTCAGCCTTCACCTTGAACTTCTGGAATTCTGTAAACACTTCATGCTTGAACTTGATGAGTTTTACCCAAGTCATTCTTGTGAACTCATCCACAAAAGACACGAAATATTTGTTTCCTCCAAGTGAAGCTACTGGAAATGGTCCACACACATCAGAATGTACTACACCCAGAGCATGCTTTGCTCTGGGGGCTACTTCTGACGCAAATGGCAATCTTGGTTGCTTGCCTTTCATGCATATCTCACATGACTTCTGAGGCTTCACAATCTTCGAAATGCCATGTACGAGCTTCTTAGAACTTAGATGCCCTAAGCTTCTATAGTTCAAGTGCCCCAACCTCTTGTGCCACAACTTACTGTCTGCTTCAGCGCCTTCTGCACTGAGACACTCCGCTTCAGAGGTTTCTACATTCACTTTGAATGTTCTGTTGCTTCCCTGCTCAGACTTCATAATCATCTTCTGATTAGAATCGTACAACGTCAAGAGGTTGTCCTTCATAACCACTGAAAAACCTTTCTCAACAAGCTGACCCACACTCATCAGATTGCTTTTAATTCCAGGAACGTACCAGACATCTTTGATCAGAATGTTTCTACCATTCTTCACTCTGACTCTGACATTTCCCATACCTTCTGCATTAAGGTACTTATCATCAGCACATCTGATCTTTGTTCTCCTTCTGGAGTCAAAGCCTGTCAGCCATTGTTTGTTCCCAGTCAAGTGGTTTGAACAGCCAGTGTCCATATACCACCAATCTCCTGAACAGTTTCCATCAGAATCAGAAGCCATCAGTAGCACAGGTTCATCATCAGAATCTTCTCTGGCTATATTTGCTTCTTCTGATTTTCTTCCTTTGTTTCTACAGTCTCTGGCAAAATGCCCAAACTGTTTACAGCAGTAACATTGAACCTTCTTCTTGTCATACCTTTCCTTTCCCTTCTGATATTTCTTTTCATCAGAAGTTGAGGTTTCTGACTTCTGGAATTTATCACCATGTCTATTCTGCTTCTGGTCCTTCTTGACAAAAGAAGCTTTCAGAGCTTGCTCCACTTCCCTCTCAGAAGTTCTTTCAGTCAGACGCAACTCTTGTGCTTCTAGACTGCTTTGCAACTCTTCTATTCTCATGGTTTCCAGATTTTTAGAATGTTCAATAGAAACAACAATGTAATCAAACTGAGGCGTAAGTGACCTCAGAATCTTTTCTATGATTACCTGTTCAGAAAGTGCTTCTCCACAAGCCTTCATTTCATTAGTAATCAGAATCAATCTGGAAATGTATTCAGAAACTTTCTCACTGTTTTTCATGCTGAGATTTTCATATTGTTTTCGCAGGGACTGAAGTTTTACCTTCTTTACTGATACATCTCCACCATAACATCTGGTCAGAATATCCCATGCCCCTTTCGACGTCGTCGAATCAACAATCTTCTCAAACACATTTTCATCCACACACTGATGGATGAAAAACAGTGCTTTCTGATCCCTCTTCCTTGTAGCTTTTTCTTCTGATTTCTGTTCTACAGTAGCATCAAATTTCTGTTTGCAGCTAAAGCAATCACCAGTCTGATTGTTTCGTGTCTAGCTACAGGTGCAAACACCTCAAAATAATCTAGTCCAGGTTTCTGAAGAAAACCTCTGGCCACTAGTCTCGCTTTATGTTTGCCAATTGATCCATCTAGCTTTTTCTTCTGATTTCTGTTCTACAGTAGCATCAGCTGCTGCTGGAACATAACCTTCAGAAACAAGGTCCAGAACATCCTGAGCACCAAACAGCACACGCATTTGAATCTTCCATCTGTTCCAGTTTTTGCCATCAAAAACTGGAAGTTTAGTGTTCAAACTACTGCCTCCATTCATCTTAAACCTTTGCACAGAAAAACTCAGATCTCACTCAGTGTTTCCCAAACCCACAGAATCAGTGTGATTCTGTTTCAGATTTTTGTTCAAGAATCAAAAATCAAACACACAGCTCACTATCACTCGTGTTTCCCAGAGTTTCAGAATCAAACCAGGAGCTCTAGATACCAATTTGTTAGTGCAAAGGTGATGAATTTGAGGAAGAAGATGAAAGGGAATAAATGCAATAAAGGCTGACAACAAATGATTGGAATTGATTGATATATTAAATGTAATCCTAGTACATCTATTTATACACAAATGAAGATGCCACATAGGCCCTAATAAAACTTATCTACAAATAACAAAATACTAAATTACCCTCTAATATTTTCCATCCCATTCAATCCACATGCATCCCTTTAATTTGGGACCCGGAATTTGAAGCTCCATATACCACATGTTACAACTGAATGGATGAAGACACACACTTTCTGAGAAAAAGTAATTGACCATTTTCTTCATTGTTTATACATCATTGCACACACATATTCTATTTGTGCTTACAGGTTAACTTAACTATTATTTAAAATAAGATTACTCTTAAACAGTAAGATATATAACTTTTATTTCAAATAATTGTTTTTTTAATTTAAATTTTTTTTCTCAAAATAAGTGAGACTTTACTTTTTCGATATAATATTTAATTACTTTTTATTAATTTTATCTCTAATTAATAATATATACTTTCAAGGCATTATTCGTTCTATTTTTATGACAATGTATATGTAACTAAAAATCATTAAGAAATTTTTTATAAAATTATTACATTTATCTTTTCATTCATTCTTATTATTTTTTTAATTTGTGAGCAACTACCTAAATAAAATTTATTTTTATTTTGAGACAGAGAAATTACATGTACAAATAGAATACAATGTCATTTTCCATCATGTACTACCCTACGATTAAAGAGTATATCTACATCTTTATCTCCACGCCCACTACAATTTATAACAACCTTAATGTTGTCGTTTGGTAAAGTAGGGACCAACTTATCTAGTATAGCAAATGCATGTGCGGCCTCAAGAGATGGAATTATACCCTCCAACTTGCATAATCTATCGTATGCTGCAAATTCAGGGTACACAAACTGTTAATATGTCTACATAGTTTAATTAAAATAATTTATTTTCAAAAAAAATTAATATATTACATACCATCAAGAGCTTCTTCATCAGTTGCGGCCCAAAATTCTGCACGACCACTTTCTTTGAGGTAGCTCAATTCTGGACCAACTCCTGGATATTCTATCCTACAAAAAATTTTGCAAAGAACGTCCAATGTTCATTTTTGATATATGCATTTGACATTAATTGCTGCTCATGAATATTTACATGCGAAACAAAAGACCATTACTTGTAATATCAGAAACAGGGGCAAATAAGAATTGTACAAACTGTACAGTTGCTCTGTCTACCAGGTACAAGGTAAATTCAGCTGAAGAATACGGTCAAGATGCATTCACTCCCCGAAGAGTAAGACAGTAATGTTAGCTCTCCCCAACTGAGACTGGCAACTGAAAGAATCGGTAATACTCTCCCCAAGCAGAGTTTATCTACCATCAACAGTGAAAAGGTTTAATATCCCTGGCAGTCTTAATATTCCCCAGCGGAGTATAAGAATGTTCCCCGGCAGAATGCAAGATATTCCCCAGTGGAGTCTGAAATTTTCCCAGCACAGTGTGGAAAAGCTTCCCCAGTAGAGCTTGGAGAATCATCCCCAGTAGACTTTGGAAGATTGTCCCCATCAAGTTCAAAGGATTATCCCCATTAGAGCCTAAAAGGTTATCCCCAGTGAATTTGCAACTGAAAGATCATCCCCCAGTGGAGTTCTTTCCTTTCACAAACAAGAAGTCAATCCCCAACAGGATTCAGTATCACCAGCAGCGGTAATTCATCCCCAGCGGAATTTATCGGTGGAATCCTCAACAGAGCATCTCTTCCCCATAGAGTAATCTCCTCATCAGTTTATTCCCCAACGGAGTTATCCTCTCCTGCAGGTTTATTCTTGCAATCATCTTCGTTCGCCATCTCCAGCGGAAATGAAGAATTCCACTCTTCCTCCAGCAGCTATCTGGGATTTATTTTCCCCAGCTCAAACATTACATTTCCATACATCATGATACATGCATATACGCACCATACAACATAATCTCATTTATTTTGAGAACATCATTGCTTGATATATATCATGTATTGCATACGACTGGCCTTTACCTTTCAGGAAGGATGCAGTTAGGTTCTCAGCTATGTCGAAGACCTGACCGGTTCTTAAATCTCAACTGAATTATTCTCGGTTGAATTACAAATAAGGTTCTCAATCTCGACAATTTTCCTCCGTCGAAGTGTGGACGAGTTCTTAAATCTCAACAGAATTATTCTCCATTGAAGTAAACAGACAGTCCTAGATCTTGATGAAGATGTTTCCCTCAGTCGAAGACCTGACCGGTTCTTAAATCTCAACTGAATTATTCTCGGTTGAATTACAGATAAGGTTCTCGATCTCGACAATTTTCCTTCGTCGAAGTATGGACGAGTTCTTAAATCTCAACAGAATTATTCTCCGTTGAAGTAAACAGACAGTCCTAGATCTTGATGAAGATGTTTCCCTCAGTCGAAGACCTGGCCGGTTCTTAAATCTCAACTGAATTATTCTCGGTTGAATTACATATAAGGTTCTCAATCTCGACAATTTTCCTTTTTCGAAGTGTGGACGAGTTCTTAAATCTCAACAGAATTATACTTCGTTGAAGTAAACAAACAGTCCTAGATCTTGATGAAGATGTTTCCCTCAGTCGAAGACCTGACCGGTTCTTAAATCTCAACTAAATTATTCTCGGTTGAATTACAGATAAGGTTCTCAATCTCGATAATGTTCCTCCGTCGAAGTGTGGACAAGTTCTTAAATCTCAACAGAATTATTCTCCGTTGAAGTAAACAGACAGTCCTAGATCTTGATGAAGATGTTTCCCTCAATCGAAGAATTGACTGGTTCTTAAATCTCAACTGAATTATCCTCGGTTGAATTACAGATAAGGTTCTCAATCTCGACAATTTTCCTCTGTCGAAGTGTGGACGAGTTCTTAAATCTCAACAGAATTATTCTCCATTGAAGTAAACAGACAATCCTAGATCTTGATGAAGATGTTTCCCTCAGTCGAAGACCTGACCGGTTCTTAAATCTCAACTGAATTAGTCTCGGTTGAATTACAGATAAGGTTATCAATCTCGACAATTTTCCTCCGTCGAAGTGTGGACGAGTTCTTAAATCTCAACAGAATTATTCTCCGTTGAAGTAAACAGACAGTCCTAGATCTTGATGAAGATGTTTCCCTCAGTCGAAGACCTGACCGGTTCTTAAATCTCAACTGAATTATTCTCGATTGAATTACAGATAAGGTTCTCAATCTCGACAATTTTCCTTCGTCGAAGTGTGGACGAGTTCTTAAATCTCAAAAGAATTATTCTCTGTTGAAGTAAACAGACAGTCCTAGATCTTGATGAAGATGTTTCCCTCAGTCGAAGACCTGACCGGTTCTTAAATCTCAACTGAATTATCCTCGGTTGAATTACAGATAAGGTTCTAAATCTCAACAATTTTCCTCTGTTGAAGTGTGGAAGAGTTCTTAAATCTCAACAGAATTATTCTCCGTTGAAGTACAGACATGTCCGAGATCTCGATGAAGATGTTTCCCTCAGTTGAAGTACTGACTGGTTCTTAAATCTCAACTGAATTAGTCTCGGTTGAATTACAGATAAGGTTCTAAGCCTCGACAGAGTTCCCCAGTTGAATTACAGACAAGTTCTTAAAACTCAACAGAGATGTTCTCTCAGTTGAAGTACAAGCAAGTTCCTAAATCTCAACCAAGACCAGGCTTCCCCAGCGGAATCTTCCACAACAACAGGTATGCAACTTCTCGCTAAGGAATCTCTTATGCGATCGACACTCATGCAGATGGAATCTTTAAGCCCATCCTCCCGCCAGCAATCTGCAAATGGCATTTGTAAGCCCATTCCCGACATCACAAGGCTGATACCACTTCATGCGAGTGCAAATTTCTGGGCACTCTAGTGTTCAATCATCTTCCACCTTCGGATCACGAAAGGCATGAAAGCCACTCTACATCCTCAGGTTTAAGAAGATTGAACAGGGGCAGCTATTGTACCCCAAAATTTTCCCTCTCATATTCCTCAGAACATTGCAAGAAAAATCTCCAAGTTGCTCAAGTTTGCTCAAGAGTGGGTCAGATAAGTCATCTCCTAAGGCAGTCAACCCCAAATTAGGGTTTTGTGTTGCATCAAGATCCTTGATTCCAAAGGACCTCAAATTCTCCCCAATTTCCTAATATGTTATCAAGGTCATGCATGTCAAGTTTCAAGCCTTGCAGAGGAAGTTTGCTCAGTCAATTGCTCAAAGGTCCAAAAATCGACTGTGCTAGGGCAAAAGTCAACTGTGACCCAAATACAGTCAAACTTCAAGATTTTTTGTCAACATTCTCATTTTGAAGGTTATTTCATCATTTGATCAAGGGTTGATCATGATTCATCAAGGATTGCTCAAAATTCATCAAGACTCAAAAGTTGCTAAATTAGGGTTTTGTAGGAAAAGTTAACTCAACTTTAATCAAGCATAACTTTCTCAAACTTTATGATAAATGACCCATCCAAAGCTAATTTTGAAGAGGATGCAATTTACTACAATCTATCTTCATACCCCAAGATCAAAAAATGCACTCACAAGAAGTTACAAATATGGACATTATAGGTCATTTTTGAAAGTCAACAAAAACACTTTTTTTGCCAAAGCTTATAACTTGAGCATGGAATATCAAAATGAGATGAGACCAAAATTGTTGGTTATAGGGCATATCAAGATTTCTAAAAAGTCCAAGAAAACCTCCAAAAGTTCAAAATTGACGAAGTTATGCATTGTTGAAGTTGGACATATTTGCAAAATTGCTAAAAGTCAACTATCCCCAAAACTTCAAATTTTGTCAAATGGGCCCATTCTTTTCCACTTTATTTGAGCTTTCATAGTTTCCCACGTGTCCTAGCTTCAGCCATGAGGCCAGATTTTATTTTTATTATTTAATTTGATTTTTTTATTGAATTTACTCATTTTAAATCAAATTAAACCATACAAAATCCAAAACTTTGATTATATGAGATTCTTTTGTTGTTTCAGGCTTTAATCATCATCATTAGCATCATCAAATTCGGATCACACCATATCATGTACAAAAAGATGGAGATGTGGCAAATTTGGAAAGGTTTAAAGGGTGAATCAAATCAAATCCCAATGCATTGATTTAGAGAGATTTGAATCAAGTTTGTTACTCTAATACATTCCACACTACATAAACAAGCCAAAAAAGCGTGAATACACGCTGCAAGAATAGGCAGAACAAAGTTTGAAAAAGGTCACCAAAAGCTTGAATTCGAAATCATAGCTAGAGGCATTTTCAGAAGCCAAAACCTATCCCAATCGCTTCCTGGGTGCTCACTCAATCTTCCTGGATCAAAAGCAATGTTCTCACACACCACAACGCACTGTAAGCAGCACGACAACCCGCCCTGTTCTTGAAACCATAAATCATCATTCTTGCATCATTTGAACAAACTAACTGTATATTTGTAATATTCACAACATTTCAAAGCTTTTTGCATTATTTAATTTTGTTTACATGACCTGTATAACAAAACACCATAGCTAGGGTTCTTGGAGTTTTTTTTGGGCGCTTTTATTTCAGGGATAATTGACCACCAAGAAGGGCATGGTTAGGACCGGGAGGTTGAGACGAGCATGACCATGCCCTTGAAACGCATTTTTGTGGCTCGTAGCAAGTTTTGGAGTTGGCTTGGCTTATAGCTATGAACTTTTGTCCGTTGGTATAGGTCTGGATCGTTTTAGCCACGGTTCAACAAAGAAGATGAAGGCGTGTCACGCCATCAATGGCCAATTCAAATCACGCGCGCATTTTTATAATTTTGCTGGCATATTGACTTGTTTTTTATATTATGATTTATTTGTATATTATTAACAAACAAAGACAAGTGGCCTAGTGGTAAGCGTGCACATCCAATATCCTACAGGACCTGGGTTCGAATCCCAGGTCCCCCAATTTCCATTTGTTTTTTCTCTTCAGGTGATCATATACATATCCAGGCTTGTAGTGCATCATACACTATCATCTATCCAATGGCCATATGGCCAAAGGCCAAATCTGGTGGCCAGAAGCTGATGGTCCACCATAGACCAAGTCAACATGCGCTCACCTGATCTCAAAAGTTAACAAAGGGCCAATTCTAATGGGCTTCAGATTGTTGTTCAAACACCATAAATCAGGCCCATACCCCCCTTACTCACATCTATTTTATTTTTGTTTTATTATTTTTTGTTTAAATTACTAACCAATTAAAAAATTCTTTTCTTTATGAAATAAAAACCACAAAAATATTTTC